TAGCTGCGATGGTAGGCAATGTGGCGAATAGGACCAATTGCCTTGTTTGCTCTCTTGGGCCAGATGATTCAGAGGGTGGTCAAGCCGCTTACTTCTGGGAAAGGGTCATTGAAATGCCTTGCTGTTTCCCTGCCCTCGGTGAAGCTAGCAGTGAGGTTGGCTGTTGTCAAAAGGTGTCTTGAAAAGGGCTGTGGTGGATCAACCTTGCAGTTGTCTGTATGCTAACCTTAAGCTCATGATAAGCCTGCAATTGCTTCCCTTAGAAGTGCAGGTCGTGCTGTGGGAAACCAAGAATCCTTCAGAAATTTGTTCACCGCACCCTGTCAGCAAAGCAAAGACAATGAGCCTTGTGCTGGCACCAAAACTGGTTTTTATGGATCTTCTTTGCAGACTGCTTTTTAACAAAAAAAAAAAAAAAAAAAAAAACAGCAAACGGCATACTGGGCTCTTGAGAACTCCTGCAGTTCTTACTTACACAATAGACTAACTTGGATTGTTAAATATTTTACCCAAATAGTAACACACAGCTGTATTCCAGAGATACTATTTTTTATTATCTGTCCTGCTTAGGAGAAGCTGTCGCTAATGTGGTTTTAGATAAAAAGGGGTATTTTTACATAGATGGATGGGAGTTGCCCCTCCCCTTACTACAGTTGCCTGTGAATATAAATAACACATTAGACACACGTTCTGACGTGTTTAGTATGTGACATTGGACTCTTAAGTTTTGATGACACTGCATTTGAGAAGCTCTGCGAAACAGTATTTCTCTCCCCCTGCCCCCCAGAAATATTCACAGCTAACTCTAAAGAGGCATTCGAACACAAAGAAATGCTGATATTTCTCGTATAGCAGGAGGGAGTACCCAAAGTTGGAGCGGTACTGATGATTGGCCGCCAGAGCGCATAATAGCCTATTATGATCCTGCCTCCTGGAATCCTGGTGAGCTCATACAAGGGGCACGGGATCCTATTTATAATCTAAACAGAATAATTCGATTACAAGCAGTAGTGGAACTTGTAACCAATGTAACGGCCCAGAGTTTGAGACTTATTGCACGACAGTTGGATGACTTGCCAGGCAGGGAGGCCTGTGTGGAGTCTTGAACTTGACAGGGAATGCCTGTTGCTTTAACATTTCAGATAATGGTTTTATGTATGGTGCCATGTATCATCTCATGTTTTAGGAGTACAATTAGCAAGATGATTTCAAATGAAACTTTACCTCATATCATGGCACTATATAGAGCCTTACCTCAGGAATATGATGTAGATCAAGCTATCAAGGACGCTTGGTAGCCAGGTCCTTGAGCTTGAAAGGGGGGAATGTGGCATCTGAATATAGACTGCATTTTTAATCAAGGCATATATTGGCTTATATTTGATCAGGTTCCTAAAATTCTAAAAATAATGTTTCTTCCAAGGTAGAAAACCAGCAAGCGGCTCCAGCAAGCAGCTGGCAAGCAAAGGGCCCCTGGTTTATTGCGGTCATAAAAAGGCTGAGAAGCAGGTCACTGACCTTGCATGCTGTAGAGTACAACTAAGTTGTAAAAGTGGTAGGTAAACAGTAAAATAAAACCATGTGCCTTAAACTTGAGTCACAGGACAAAAGGTCAAGAGCACTTGGAAGAGAAAGCGACTGGCTGGAGAAGGGGGGGAAGTATGAACAGGGAAGAGGCTTCTTTTAAAATGGTTTTTTTACTGTGTTCCTTTTTACTGAGTTCTTTACAAAGGCTTTATTCTTTTAAAGAAGCTACCTGTGTTGTGTATTAAATATGCTGGCTTAAATGTAACTATGCAAAGGATTTAGAAAGTAACAAATTTAGATGTTAGATTCTTATTTCATAGAATCATAGAGTCCTAGAATTGGAATAGACCACAGGGGCCATTGAGTCCAGCCCCCTGCCAGACAAGAAGACGCCATCTGAGCAATTCTGATATATAAGTTGTCAGATATTTGTTTAGAAACCTTCAAATGAAGGTTTTCTTTCAATATTGATGTGAAACTCAAGATCCTTGACATATGTTTAAGATAAAAATTTAAGATTAACCATTTGTTTTAGAAGGCAATAGGGCAAGAGGTGAGCTGGTAATTAAGATTCCATGTAAGATATATTATTACTTATTTGTCATTTATATATAGCTCTTTGTCTCCCTTATAAGGACAGGAGGATATGAGTGTATTTTTGTGATTGGTTATAGCAATCAGCCAATAGGAATTTCAACCAGGCTGATGGGACAGAGGCAGCCACAGGAGGAACAAAGGGGGCTGGATTAAGGGAATATAAGTGCTGGCCATAATGGCAGGAGGCCAGGCCAGAGCTTGGTAATCATATACCACTGTGCCTCTTATTTATTTGTCTGACAAATAAATTATTATTTTAATTTCTCTGTTGCTGCGTTGAATATTTCATTCCAGCTAAGCGTTAACCACAAGCAGGGTGCTACAATCTCACATGGGGCTTGAACCCGCAACCAGGAGATTATTCATCTCACGCTCTACCGACTGAGCTAGGACAGCTCAGCGACTTGTGGGCGCAGGGACACCGATGGTGGCGTGTGAAGACCCCTAGAGAAGGGTGCAAAGACTTGTTCCTTGCTGCTCCTCCAGGGCTAGGAATGGACCAGATCTCATAAAGGGACTCCTGACCGTTAGGTCCAGTCGCGGACGACTCTGGGGTTCCGGCGCACCGGATCTCATAGGGCTAATCCATTTGCCCCGACAGCTAAGAGCGGAAGGGCAGGGGAAGCAGCAGGGCGGTCTCGCAGCCCCCGCCTTGCAAGGGGGCGCATCCAGCCTGGCAGCCTCCCAGGGCCCAACCCACAGCCAGCGAGCTCCGATGCTCAGAGAGGCAGGAAACGGGGCCAGCCAGGGGGACCCGAGAGCGGCTGCACTTTCCTGTCCCCCGCCGAGGAGAGCGGAGGAGCAGCGGCCCGTGGCCTGGCGAGTTTCCCCGGAGAGGAGCCGGATTCCGGTGCAGGGACGGAGCGAGGAGTCCGAGGTGCAGGAGGGCGGAGCAAGAGGGGGAGGAGGAGAGCAGGTGCGCCTCGCCTGGCAGAATCAGGCCCCGAGTCCAGCCAGAGGCTGCAAGGCGCCCCCCCCAACCGGGCAGGAAGGGGAAGGGGCGCAGCTGAGGGGCAGGGCATCTGCAGGAAGGCACAGGGGCAAACATCTTTGGCTCAGGCTGGCACGGACCCTGCCGGAGACCCTGGGGAGCTGCTCCCTTCAGTCCTGAGCTCAAGGGGCAGAATGAGGGGTCCAAGGCAGCTGCTGCTTCCCGATGGATCAGCAGCATAGCTGGGACTTTTGCCGCCCCTCTCCCTGTCCCTCAGCAGGGAGCCCAGCCCATTTCGAGGGTTCTCCTCAGGGCGGACAGGGAAGGGGAGGCAGGGGGGGAAAGGAAGAGCAGTGTAGCAGGGAGGTGCCCCTCACACTCTGCAGCCCCCTGACACCCTTTGCAGATCACTACTCCTGCCCCCCCTTCCTCTGCCAGTGCCATTGATAAACCTATCGCCCTCCTTCGTGAATTGGAAGGATGGGATAGAAGTTCTGATCTGGAAATAAATGATCCCTCTGGCTGCTCTTTAAAGAGGATTTCTAAAGAACAATCAGAAGGGTGTTTTTCCTAGAACTCATTGCTAATTCAGCAGGGTCTTCTTGTGCTCTTATTTCTCCTCCAGCCCAGCACTGGGATTGGAAGGTCTAAACATGCTGATTGTGTTTGCAAGACTTGTATGTATGCTGGATGGCATGTCTGGTGAGTGTGTGCAGCACCTCTGGCATGTGTGCATGTGACTTTATGGTCTGCATCTCTTTTCTGTGTGTACATGCATGTGCATACATTGGCCACAAAGCTCACTGGAATGTGGCCTCCAGAATCAATGCAGCATTAAGCCCATAAATGTTTCGTTCCTCCTGCTCTATCAGAAAGAACAATCAAATCTGGGACTATCAGGAGGAGAGAACTCCTGGATCTACAGAGTTAATGCTCTCAACATCCTATGGACACAAACTGCAATGAGATTTCCCTTTAATTGCTTTGAGATTTTCCCCTCAAAAATATGAAGCAGTATAGAAATGAAATGAGTAATAATCTGAACATGAATAAAATCTTAAGACTCTCTCACTTATTTACATGCAGACACAAGAGGTCACTAGCTTTGATAGCTTGGGGAAAGGTCAGATGCGTTCTCCAGGGAATAAATCTATCAGCTATTTTATTAGCTGTGACAGATCAACAGAGCCTCCATGTGTAGGCACAGTGTACCTTGATTTGGGGCAGGCAAAAGAAGCCATTTCCTTGCTAAATGAATCTGATGGACATCATTGCCACAAGATGCGGTGCTGGTGGTGGCAAAGAGAGTTTTAGAAGGCTACCAATTCACCAAGGAGGGCGGTAGGTTTATCAATGGCACTGGCAGAGGAAGGGGGGCAGGAGTAGTGATCTGCAAAGGGTGTCAGGGGCTGCAGACTGAGAGGGGCACCTCCCTGCTGCACTTTCCCCCCTGCCTCGCCTTCCATCTCCGCCGGTGGGAGAGCGTGAGCTTGTGCCTGTGCTGCGGCCCCCGGAACCGACTCATCGCCCTTGCAGCCCCCGCAGGGAGGCAGAAGCAGGGGAGAGGGAAGGACAGTCAATGGGTTTTTGAAGTTGGTTTTTCTGTTTTAACCTTCCCTGGTGTTTTGCCTTGTGCAGCAGAGTGATGTGAAAATGGAGGAACAGGGACCAAAAAGGAAAAGACTGGAGTCCAAAGGAAAAGAATCTGCTGTGGACCAACTTGGGACCATCAGGGATCTTCTGCCTCAGGAAGATTTACATCAAATTAAGCAGGAGGCAGAGGAGCGGCGGCCACAGCAGCACTGGGATGCCCAGTGGCAGGATTTCCTGAAGGCGATGCACCCCCCTCGTTCAGGGTGGGAAACCCCACAGGCTCCCAGTCCTCCCCTCTCCGGAGATGGTGTCCTCCCGGCCTCCTTCAGGGGAGCTGCGGATGCCAGTCAGTGGCCCAGTGGGAGAGCAGGGGGGACAGACCAGACCCTGCCAGACCGGAGTGGGGAGGCACACGAGGAAGGAGGGGAGCAGATTTCCTCTGTGAAAGTGAAGGAGGAGATCCTGGACGAGGAGGAAGAAGACGCCAACATGAGGTCAGAGATGGAGCGGCAGAGCTTCCGGCGGTTCTGCTACCAGGAGGCCGAGGGGCCCCGAGAGGCCTGGCTTCGGCTCCAGGAACTTTGCTCCCGGTGGCTGAAGCCAGAGAGGCGCACCAAGGAAGAGATGGTGGAGCTGCTGGTCCTGGAGCAGTTCCTGACCATCCTGCCTGCGGAAATGCAGAGCTGGGTCAAGGGAGGCAGGCCAGAGACCTGCGCCCAGGCGGCGGCCCTCGCTGAGGACTTCCTGCTGCAGCTGCAAGACACCGAGGGGCTTCCGGGAAAGGTAAGTGCCCTCCTCTCACCTGGGTCTCCAGCATCTCATGGTCTCAGGTCCAGTGCCTCTAGACATGGAGGTTCTGTTTAGTTATGGTGGTGAATATTCCTCCTCCCTGCATTTTCTCTCTCATCCACTTTAAAATGGCTTAGAGCAAACTTTACTATACATGGGAGGTTGGCAATTATATCAGAGCAGGACCTACGTCAGAAGAGTTGCCCCTCCACCAACCCCCGTTTTCCTCATCTAAATTTCCTGTTTTCCTCGACTAAATTGCCTCCATTTCCAAAATGCTGTTTGCTCCTGTGGCGATCACACAGGGTCCCTGGACCTTTCACTGTCTTTTGATCCCTGTGCCACCAATTTATTTCTCGCTGTCAGCACCTGTGCCCTACCTGCGACAATACTGAGTCCAGTCAGGGTTAAATTGAAACATAAACTTCTGTTTATTTATTGCAGTTTAACATGCGTATGGTTTCATAAACTATATCGGTCAATTACATTCATGGGGTGCCTATCCAGACCTATAACTTCTGCTACCTGCTCTCACTCACGAAACTACCTCTCAGATATTGACTTGTCTTCCTAGCTCCTAATTGTTCCTGACTCAGCTTATTTCGCTACACTAACTCAACCTACCCACAGACTCTATTCCAACTCACTCCCACGCCAACCAACCACCCAACTCCCAGCAAACTCCCCAACAAACTCCTCAATGAACTCCCCCTTTGCCCCTCCCTGAGCTCGTTTCATAGTCCCACTGACTCCACCCCTCTGGGTCCTGACTGGGCAACCTGTTTAAATATTTCACCTCCAGCACTCTCATATATGTTAACGTCACAGCTCCCTGTTGGGATTTTAGCCCCCACCAATTGCCACGCTGGCAGGAAACAGCAGGTGCTGTTTACATCATGTGAGTTGGCACAGCGTGAGAAGGGATGTGAGATTCTGTTCTCAGCGTGACTCTCACTGTGTGCTGGGAGGAGGAATCTCAGTCTCTTCGACTCTCAGGAGAGAGCTGTGTGTGTGGCAAAACCCAGGGCTTGACTGCTCAGACATGCAGTCCTTTGTGTTTGTTGTTTTGCAGTAAATGAAATGTAGTAATGAAACTACGAGACTGCCTTTTCCCTCTGATGTTGGCTAGGGAAATTCGTATGCTTCCTTATGAGAGAGAGGCTGCTTATTTGACCGGTCACCTGGACTGAGAGGAAGATTCCTGAATGGCAGCCAGGGAGTGACCATCGGAATGTTTCGCCTTTGGAGTGCACCGGGAGGCTGGCACAGCTCCCAGGCTGGCAACATTTCAACACTCCCTGCTGTGGTAAAAATCTTGGCACGTCTTACAGCCTCAGCACTGCCATGTGTAGTGCAAATAGAATAACACTGGCCTATCTTGCCAAGTTGTTGTAAGAGTTATTATGATAATGGCCAGGTTCAGATGACTGAATCACAGCCTGAAAAGCTGGGTTACAAATAGGAACAGTTTTTGATGCGTTGCTGCAGCAAAGTTATGATAAAACCTAAGTTGACCCAAGTTCAAAACAAAAAACTCTAGCCGCCACCACCACAGTCTCCTGACCCCCACAAACAGAATGCATCACTCCAGGAAGGACTCCCACCCAACCTTTAGTGAGAGAGGGGAAAAGAGAAGGACTCTGCATGGGTAGTTGCACAAATTTAGCAGCTGTGGTCCTGCACTGGCAGCAAGGCTAACAAACAGGGGAGCTGGGAACGTGCTGGTCCCGTATCTCCCTGCATCTGCCTCCTGACCTAATTGTCCCAGCTTACCCTGAGGGTGAACTGTGATGAAACCAGGCAGTCTCCTATGAGCCATAACTAACAAACTTTCCGTTTTGCCCAAACCAGGAAACTACAGCTGCCAGCTTTGGAACAAGCCGGGATAGTAAGCGAACTTCAAACTTTGCTTGGTCTATGGGATCTACTCTCAGGCCACTAATGTGCATACCATGCCAGCCTTAGGAAGGGAGTTGGGACAGGCAGGTGAAAGGAATTGCCAAAGGTGATCAAAAATGGGTGGGGGCTCTTGGGAAGGGGGTGCCCAATTAGGGCTTCTCCAGGGGCAGCAGAATGTCTTGGGCAGGAGAAATTTGATAGTCTCAGATTTGATTGTTCTTTCTGATAGAGCAGGAGGAACATTTATGGGCTTAAAGCTGCATTGATTCTGGAGGCCACATTCCAGTGAGCTTTGTGGCCAATGTATGCACATGCATGCGCACACAGAATCAATTATGCAGACCATAAAGTCACATGCACACGTGCCAGAGGTGCTGCACACACTCACCAGACATGCCATCTAGCATACATACAAGTCTTGCAAACACAATCAGCATGTTTAGACCTTCCAATCCCAGTGCTGGGCTGGAGGAGAAATAAGAGCACAAGAAGACTCTGTTGAATTAGCAAGGAGATCTGTGGAAAAAAGACCCTTCAGATTGTTCTTTAGAAATCCTCTTTAAAGAGCGGCCAGAGGGATCATTTATTTCCAGAGCAGGGCTTTTACCCCATTTCAGCACTGTGCTTGTTTGTGGTGAAATTGGAGTCTAAAAAATCTCTCCAAGGGCCCTTTAGGCATCTTTCTCTCCAGGACAGACAGAGATCTTCATCCTATGATCAGATCAGGAGATGGAAAAGGCAGGGACTAGCAGGACACACCCTGAGGCTTGGCAAGCCATATGCAGCCAATGCACTGCAAGTTAGAGTGTCTTCAGTCAAGAGAGTTTATGACCATCAAATTTAAAATATTCTGGATATTCCTTTTGTCCTTTTGTTCTTAGGCTGTGCAGATACCATACATTTAAAGCATGTGGCTTCCCCCAGAGAACCACGGGACCTGTAGTTTATTGCTACAGTTCTCAACACCCCTAACAAACTGCAGCTCGCAGGATTTCTTGGGTGAAGCCATGTACTTTAAATGTTAGGTGGGTCTGTCGCAGCCTTAATCATATACAAAGATCTGTTGCTGCCTTTCCAACATGCTAGAAGTTGCAGCCAGGATCAGCATTCCCTGTCCACTGAACATGCTCAGTCCTCTCTCTGGGTTGTTTTGGGATTTCCCTCCCACTGCCTTGGTCATCTCCCCCCCAAAAAAATATTATTTGTAATTCCATAAACCGTTTCCCCCAGTCTTTGGATAACTTCCCCTCGTCCCTGGGTGGAGTTGTTTGGGTGACATAAAGATTGTCATTCACATCCTGAACATTAGAAATAGAAAGAGTAATAATATATTTCAAAAACTGGCTAATGGTTAAAAAATGTGCTTTTGTTTTTATTCTTGGGTTTTATTTTACTTTGTGTTTATTTCTTTTCCAGCAGGGTGGCAAAAAAATGGAAGAGCAGGGACCCAGGGAGAGGGAGAGACTGGAGTGCAAAGGAAAGAAACCTCCTACCGGCCAAGTTGGGACCATCAGGGATCTTATGCCTCGGGCAGATTTATGTCAAATTAAGCAGGAGCCAGAGGAGGAGCAGCCGCAGCAGCACTAGGAGGCCCAGAAGCAGGATTTCCTGAAGACGATGCAGCCCCCTTGTTCATGATGGGAAACCCCACAGGCTCCCAGTCCTCCCCACTCTGGGGATGGTGTCCTCTCCTTCAGGGGAGCTGCGGATGCCAGTCGGTGGCCCAGTGGGAGAGCAGGGGGGACAGACCAGACCCTGCTACCAGACACTGAGGGGCTTCTGGGAAAGGTAAGTGCCCTCCTCTCACCTGGGATTCCAGCACCTGGAGGTCACAGGTCCACTGCCTCTCGACATGGAGGTTCTGTTTAGCTTTGGTGGTGAATATTCCTCCTCCCTGCACTTTCTCTCTAATCCACTTTAAAAAGGCTTGCTAGACCAAACTTTCTAAATGGGTAGCTGTACAAATTTACCAGCTGTGGTCCTGCACTGGCAGCAAGGCTAACAAACAGGGGAGCTGGGAACGTGCTGGTCCCGTATCTCCCTGCATCTGCCTCCTGACCTAATTGTCCCAGCTTACCTCATGATTGGGCCGGCCCTGAGGGTGAACTGTGATGAAACCAGGCAATCTCTTATGAGCCATAGCTAACAAACTTTCCATTTTGCCCAAACCAGGAAACTACAGCTGCCAGCTTTGGAATAAGCTGGGATATTAAGCTAACTTCAAACTGTGCTTGGTCAAAACAGGAAACTCTGGTTGATCAGTAGCTTCGTGGTTTGACTGATCCCACTGATAGAAGTAAAAATAGGAACCCTGTTGCATTCAAAGGGGTTATTTGGACAGAGTCTGTGATCAGCATGCCAATCAGGACAGGCTTAAAAACTAAAGGGACCCCTGACCATTAGGTCCAGTCGTGGCCGACTCTGGGGTTGAGGCGCTCATCTCGCATTATTGGCCGAGGGAGCCGGTGTACACCTTCCGGGTCATGTGGCCACCATGACTAAGCAGCTTCTTGCGAACCAGAACAGTGCACGGAAACGCCGTTTACCTTCCCGCCAGAGCGGGACCTATTTATCTACTTGCACCCGGGGGTGCTTTCGAACTGCTAGATTGGCAGGAGCAGGGACCGAGCAACGGGAGCTCACCCTGTTGCAGGGATGCGAACTGCCGACCTTCTGATCGGCAAGGCCTAGGGTCTGTGGTTAACCCACAGTGCCACCCGCGTCCCAGGACTGGCTTAGGAAGCTATTATTATTATTATTATTATTATTATTATTATTATTATTATTATTATTATTATTTGCATCCTGGGTTGCCTCTGCCCATCTGGGTAGCTTCCAACAAAATAAAAACCATCAAAAATTTCCTTGTAAAAGGCTGCCTTTGGGAGTCTTCCATTCTGTAGAAATGGCCTTCGGTTTTAAAGAATTGCCCTCTTTAAGGAATCACTTGGTGTAAACATGTATGTTGTCCTTTAGGTCCAAACACACAGACACACACACACACACACACACACACACACATAGTAGGAGCAAGCAGTTCTCTGAAGTGCTTATCTTGCGAACTTGCCATCTAAGTTGTTTACTCCTGACCAAAGTTCCTGTTTCCCTAAAGGACAGGAGGGGGAGCAGAGGAGGAAACGAATGGGTTTGAAGGCTCTTTCCACCAGCCGCCTCTCTCCCCTGAGGAACAAGAGCAAAGGGTGTTTGCAGGGCAGAAGGACAGAGGAGGAGGCAGCGAGGGCAGAGGGAGCAGTGGGCGGATCCCCCGCCTCTCCCAGGGGGTCCAGATGCAAGCAAGGGGCTTCCTTCTCCATGCATTCAGAGCAGTCCTTTAAAGATTAACGCTTAAGTTCCATGGGATCTACTCTCAGGCCACTAATGTGCATACCATGCCAGCCTTAGGAAGGGAGGTGGGACAGGCAGGTGAAAGGAATTGCCAAAGGTGTTTGAAAATGGGTGGAGGCTCTTGGGAAAGGGGTGCCCGCTTGTGAATGAACTTTATTATGGTCACAGACCAGGATTAAAAAAGCATATAGATAAAATAGCAGTTAGGATTTTTTTAACCAATAATTGTTAGAGCAAATTAGGACATGGAAACAGGCATAGGATAAAACATCTAAATAAAATACAAGATTAAACACGGATAATGGATGGATAAAAAAACTGATAATTAAAACAGATAAGAACTAAAAACAAAGACACACAGTTAAAACAACTGTAAGAGCATAAGAACTAAAAAACTCGCAGTTAAAACAACCATAAGAGACTGCAGAGTAGAAGCCTCTTAAATAGAGGACACTCACAACATTAGAAACTGCTGTGCAAATATGGTTAAAACAGACAATTAAAATAATGTTCAACGCTAAATTTAGAAGCAATGTACAACAATAAACTGTCCCAGGGAGTTGTCTCAGAGTCACCCATGGAACCGTGTTTGGGGCTTTTCATGTCGGACTATCTTGAGTTGGGCGATGGTCTGCGCCTACAGAAATGTACACAGAATCTGGCGACCATCCAGGTCATCTTCTGATCTTTGCCTAACAGCAAAAGGTCAAATTTTTGCTTTTGCGGGAGGTCGGCTAGCCTCACCAGTAGGGGATCCATGCTCTTACTACGTGCCTCTTCATAAAAGGGACATTTAAAGAATAAGTATTCTGGGCTTCCTATCTCTCCCAATGGACAGGTGCAAAGTCTCTGAGCATACGGGACCCTTCTAAAGGCTTCATCCAGGACCGGCGAGGGAAGAGCCGAGCTTCTGGCGAGTGTAAAGGCCCTTCTTGCATCCCTAGATACGAGAAAGAAGAGATATGCTGCCGGTGCGGCTATATCTCTCGATTTCTCCAATTCTATAGTCGGGGGACCTCGCACAGTCCTGCTGTCTCTCGGTGTCTAATATTCTTTGCCTGAACGTAGCTTTTGCCTGGCCGAAGCCCAGACTTAGAAGGGCTTGAAGGGCAAAACCCAGTTTCCGGAGGGTGTTCAGGACTGCAGTCTGCCAGCCCGACTGGAATTGGTCACAGAGGATCAATGGGGCTATCCCTCGGGGGAGCAGGTTCAATGTCAGCCACTTGTAGGTTGATATTAGGCGGATGCTAGCCTCCACTCTCATCATCCCCGTTTCCAATCTAACCCATGCGTTTGAGACACATCTGGGGACTTGGAGGAGAGCTCTAAGAAGTCTAGATTGAACTCTCTCAAGGGGGGAGAAAGCAGAGGAAGGTGGGCCCAAAAAGAACCATAGAGGAGTTGTGCCAAAGTTTTGGCCTTGTATAATTTTGGAGCTGCGGGAATGAAGAAACCCCCTTGTGCTCTGAAGAATTTAAGGATACAATTAGCATTTTTTTCCGCTAGGGGGTGCCCAATTGGGGCTTCTTCAGGGGCAGCAGAATGTCTTGGGCAGAGGAATCCCTGCAGGGGCTCTGAGACTCCCTTGGCTTCTTCTTCTTCCCTCCCTCCCAGGAAGCTGCAACTTGCTCTGGATTCTGTGCTCCTCAGGAAGCTGAACCTGCAAACCCAGCTGAGACTGAACCTGCAACCCTGGCCAGGATGGAAGGAGGAAGATGGACGGTTGACCTGGTCAGGCTCTCTCCCGCATCCCTCCCCACAACCTCTGAGCATTCCCTCCCAGGACCCTTGGAGAAATCTGGTGAGTTCCAGGGGAGAGGAGATGGGGACAGGGATAGATGGATGGCGGAGGGAGAAAGAGGAAAAGATGGAGAGGAGACAAATGGAAGGAAGTTCCTGACAGGAAGAAGGAAGGGGTGAGGCCTTCTCCAAAGCAGCTCTTTGTTTCTTGAATCCTTTTCCTAAAGTAGTGGGAGCAGATTTTCTTCCTCCAGGCTTTGAAATCTTAGGTGTTATTTCCACGGTGGGAATAATTGATGATAATGATGTTGCACACCAATCCTGAAAAATGGGTGAAGGGGAATGGAAATGCTTCCCATAACTATTTATAATTAATGCATTTAAATTGTTTATGTTACTCTTATTTTTTATAGACAGGGTCAGAATGATACATTCCACCAGCACCAAAACACAATAAATGCATGCATCTTCCCAGTCTGGTAGGGTTCAGGGACAAAGGACCAGTTATCATGATACACGATTCCTGTGGCTGGAGGCTCTACACTTAGGATTGGGCATATAAAGTCAAAGAGCGGATGGTATTATAAGCAAATTGTGTAAACTTGCCAATCTTACAGACTGGGGTTGTGTGTGAGAGGGAGGGAGGGAGTGGGATTATAATTTATAGCGCCCCTGTGTAATGGCTTGGTTCTCCCGCACAGACAAACAACTCCAGTAGGAATTATCTCAGGTTTATTGCTCAAACTCACAAATCACTGTGGAGCTCAGTCTTCAGCCTGTTCATCCCAGCTTGCAGTTGCCGAGTCCTCCAGCCAAGAAGCCCCCACTTCGCTTTCTTTCCCCCTCTTCTCGCAGATTCTCTTGAGCCTACGATTTTTTGGACAGGCTATTTCTGGGGTCTCTGTGTCAGAGCTCAAACCGGAGATAACAGTCTGTGCCCCCCCCCCGGCACCCCCTCTTCCTGCTCTTTGTTCTTTCCTCCTGCTGCAGCTTGGCTGCTCCTCTCCTGCTTCACATTCCAACTGAATCACATCTCTTGCATTCTCAGGCTCTGTCAGCGGAGGCACGACAGGCTTGAGATTCACAGAGCTGACACCCTGTAATTTTGTCCATCCCTAAGCTTCCTTGGAGATACTGTGGTACAACCTTGGTGCAAATTTCAAAATAAGTACACAAAGCCAACAAAGAGACTCAGAGGTTTATAGTGGCACCAGCTTTCCTGGTCAAGAGTCCTCTTTGTCAGACTGCAGCCCACAAAAGCTTAAGCCATAATACATTCATCTGCCTTTAAGGGCTGCAAAAGATGAATAAACAGAAGCGTAGTTCATCTATGGAATCTATCCTAGAGGAGACAGTGACGGCCAGCAACATGGATAGCTTGAAGAAAAGGATAAGACTGACGTCTCTGCTCTGCCCTCGCGGTCTAGGCAATAACGCTTCTTAATACTAGTGTCTGGAAAGCACATGAAGGCAGAGAAGACTCTTGTGCTCCAATCCTGCTTGCCGGTTTCCCACAGGCATCTGGTTGGCCTCTGTGAGAAGAGGATGCTGGACTAGGTGGGCCTTTGCCTGATCCAGCAGGCTCTTCTTAGGTTCCAATATATTGCAATATTTTTACAGTTACATGTAGCACTTAAGTTTTATTTATTTCACAATGGAGACACTGTTACTTGAGCCTGATATCATTTCTTCACTTCAGAAAGAAAAAATAGATGTGTCTAATAAGACAATTCCACCATAGATCTGTATTATAAAACGATGGTGCTTTATTAAGTTTGAATGGAGTGATCATGTGTTGCTCTTGCCACTATCTCGTCAGCTTTCGTAAAATTTGGAACATAGAGAGGATAGTGGAGAATGAAGGTGTTAAAATGAGAGAAGGTACAGATTGGGATTGACATGTGTTCAGTTCCCTTTTTGTCTTTCTTGAAAGTCTAACAGGATTCTCTTTCCTCCCAGACTCCCAAACAGGTGAGGAAGATGAAAGTCAGAATTCTATGGAGTCACATGTGAATTTATGGGGGAAAACAAAGAAATTGAGGATACAACAAAAAAGTCGCAAAGGAGAGAAACTATTTGAATGTATTGAATGTGAAAAGAGCTTTAGTCGAAATGATACACTTAGAATACACCAACGAACTCATACAGGGGAGAAACCATTTAAATGTATTGAATGTGGAAAGAGCTTCAGTGAAAGTGGAGCACTTAGAAGACACCAACGAACTCATACAGGGGAGAAACTATTTGAATGTACGGCATGTGGAAAGAGCTTCAGTCAAAGTGTAGCACTTAGAATACACCAAAGAACTCACACAGGGGAGAAACCATTTGAATGTTTTGAGTGTGGAAAGAGCTTCAGTGAAAGTGGAGCACTTAGAAGACACCAACAAACTCATACAGGGGAGAAACTATTTGAATGTACGGCATGTGGAAAGAGCTTCAGTCGAAGTGGATATCTTAGAATACACCAAAGAATTCACACAGGGGAGAAACCATTTGAATGTTTTGAGTGTGGAAAGAGCTTCAGTGAAAGTGTAGCACTCAGAAGACACCAACAAACTCACACAGGGGAGAAACCATTTGAATGTTTTGAGTGTGGAAAGAGCTTCAGTGTTAGTGGATCACTTAGAATACACCAACAAACTCACACAGGGAAGAAACCATTTAAATGTATTGAATGTGGAAACAGCTTCAGTGATAGTGGATCACTTAGAATACACCAACGAACTCATACAGGGGAGAAACCATTTAAATGTGTTGAATGTGGAAAGAGCTTCAGTCGAAATGATACACTTAGAAGACACCAACGAACTCATACAGGGGAGAAACCATTTGAATGTATTGAATGTGGAAAGAGCTTCAGTACAAGTGGAAAACTTAGAATACACCAAAGAATTCACACAGGGGAGAAACCATTTAAATGTATTGAATGTGGAAAGAGCTTCAGTGAAAGTGGAGCACTTAGAAGACACCAACGAACTCACAGAGGGGAGAAACCATTTGAATGTTTTGAGTGTAGAAAGAGCTTCAGGGATAGTGGATCACTTAGAATACACCAACGAACTCACACAGGGGAGAAACCATTTAGATGTATTGAATGTGGAAAGAGTTTTAGCATAAGCGGAGCACTTAGAATGCACCAACGAACTCATACAGGGGAGAAACTATTTAAATGTATTGAATGTGGAAAGAGCTACAGTCAAAGTGGATCACTTAGAAGACACCAACGAACTCATACAGTGGAGAAACCATTTAAATGTATTGAATGTGGAAAGAGCTACAGTCTAAGTGGATCACTTAGAATACACCAACGAACTCACACAGGGGAGAAACCATTTAAATGTATTGAATGTGGAAAGAGCTTCAGTGAAAGTGGAGCACTTAGAAGACATCAACGAACTCACACAGGGGAAAAATCACAGATACTTTAATAAACCGTATACGATGTTCTTTACCTTTCCTTTTATGCTTCCCTGCAATACTGATAAAATCAAACCACGCCAATGCTTTCAGCCCCAGAAGAGGAGCTCCCCTTGGTGTCAGGGGAGGGGTCCAAGGGAGCATCTGAAGCCCTGCCATTCCTTCTGTCCCTGGCCCCTTCCCCTCCTCTCTCTGCCATCCCAGGGCCACTCTTGACTCCACAGCAGGAGACTGGATCTGTCTGTGATGATGAGATGTCCTGGCTGGTTGAAGGACCACTTCCTGTTTCCTGGAGCTCCATCCTTCTTTCTCATGCAGGGTGGAGTCATGAAGCAGGTGAAGGCTGAGCACACCTAAGGGTGGCGCAGCGGGTGGGTGGGATTCTGCTTAACCTTTCCCCGTCTGCTCCTTTAATGGATCCAAATCCCCACACCAAAAGGGGCAGTGTGAGGGCGCAATCAGTGTTATGGAGCTGCACTGAAAATCAATTCTTTGTGACTGTAAGAGGCCCTTCTCAAAAAAAACAAGCATCAAGAGAATTTAAGTTATAGAATTTAAAACAAACAGATAATTACAAAAAAAGAAAGCAGTCTGGTGCCACATTGCGTAGGAGTTACTTTAGCACACTTTACCTGTGGCTTCCTTTGAAAAGAGCTCAGAAACTTCAATGGCTCAAAGAGCTGCAGACACTTTGCTGACCAGGGCTGGCTATAGGCAGCATAGGACTCCCATATTAGTACAGCTCCGTCTGCCTAATTGTCTGTTTCTGGACACAATCAATGTGTCCACAAGAAGAGGAAGATAGATTTGAGGAAGGCCAACCTGCAGAGACACTACAAATCGAAGCACATCCAGTACCAGGAGTTCCAAGGGCAGCTGCACCAGGAGAAGGTCAAGGCGCTGAAAACGGACCTGTTGGGTAACCTGTGGCCCCTCCAGATGATGTGAAATTGCAACTCACGTCTTCTTTAGCCATTGGCCACGCTGGCTGGGGCTCATGGGAGCTGGAGTCCAAGGATCTAGGTCCACAAATGCCAGGGACAATTCAAATCCCTCCTCAGTCGTGAAGCCGATTGGGCAACTTAAAGCTGGTCACCATCTTTATGCGAAACCTCCCTCGCAGGGTTGCTGTGTGCGTGAAAGCAATATATCTTGTGGTGGGCTTGATGAGGGGAGTGTGGAACAGAAATGTAATTCATAGGTAAGAAGACAGGAAATAGTTCTGAATCTGACTGAAAATAAAGGATTCTTTGTCTCCAAATTGCATATAGCAAGCATCTGGTTCCTCAGCACTCTGCACTCTCTCTCTCTGGAAACCTCCAGCTGTCAGGTGACAGGAACCAGCCAATGCCTCCCAGTTCAGAAACAGTCTGCCAAGAGCTGAGATTGGAAGTGGACAACCAAGGAAACTTAGGGGAGCATTTTCATTTCCATGCTTATGAATATTGATTTGAATCAATTCATCTGATGTGTTCAAAATAGTAGAGAAAATTTATGGTTGACACCACCTTGGGATAGTTTTGAGAGGAATTCGGGGAACTAGGAATATTTTTAGTTCCATCTGGGTTGATGGATCATTAAATAGCTAGAGAGGATTAAGGGGTGGGGGCGGGAATCAGGCCTTGTTTCTCATGTGACAGATAACCGATTCCACAGTTCTTAAATGTGACCATTTGCGACACAAGATCTACCCACCAGGGAAGAATGGCAGATGAAGGTGATGGACTATATGGAACTGGCGGAATCCGAGACCAGGGAGAAGAGTTGGTGGAAGAAGATTGGAAGAAATTTAAAGACTATTTACAGAAACAATGTAAAATTAATGAATGTTAGAAAGATATTGGAATGAACTTATGTGGTTTTAGCAGAAATGTTATAAAGGATTAGGAAAAAATAGACTGTTAATTGATGAAACGAGGGAAAGTAAAGTTATATCATATTAAGATAAATTACAGGACAAAAATGGGAAAAGATGGAAAGGATTTGCTGAAATAGTTAACCAAACTAGAAGGTCAAGAAAACAAGCTAACGAATGATAAGTTATGGGAAGATTCGATGTTTTATTTTTTTAATGGACTTTTTTTCCTGTTTTTGTATTTTCTTTTTTTCTTTTCTTATTATGATTTGTTGTTTTTGATGTTGCTTAATATGATGTTATTATTTTTCTTTTTGTAACCTTTAAAACCTTAATAAATATTATTAAAATAAATAAATAAATGTGACCATTTGCTGCCTCCCAAAATTATGCTTAAGCCTTTCCCCTCCCCCCCCAAAAAACAACAACAATTCAAACATGGTAGCTGGTCTTGTCAAACGGGCCAATATAAGGTTCATTTGGCAAGTTTGTTGTTGTTTAGTCGTTTATTTGTGTCCGACTCTTCATGACCCCATGGACCAGAGCACGCCAGGCATTCCTGTATTCTACTGCCTCCCGCAGCTTGGTCAAACTCATGTTCGTAGCTTTGAGGACACTGTCCAACCATCTCGTCCTCTGTCGTCCCCTTCTCCGTGTGCCCTCCATCTTTCCCAACATCAGGGGGGTCTTTTCCAGGGAGCCTTCTCTTCCCATGAGGTGGGCAAAGTATTGAAACCTCAGCTTCAGTATGTATCTTTCCAGTGAGCACTCAGGGCTGATCTCCTTCAGAATGGATAGGTTTGATCTTCTTGCAGTCCATGGGACTCTCAAGAGTCTCCTCCAGCACCATAATTCTTTTTTTTTTATAATAAATAATATTTATTAAAGTTTCAAAGAATTACAAAAAGAAAAAGAAAACAGAAAAAAACAAAGTACAGAAAAATAAAAACAATTAAAAACAGATCAATCTTTACATGTCTTGTCTTTCATTTACTTGTTTCCCTGACCTCCTCACACCTCCCTTCTTTGTATTCTAGTTCAATTAGTTACTTCAACAAATCCTTTCCATTTTTGCTTTTATCTTAATGATTTATCTTAATATATTGTAACTTTACATTCTCACCTATTCATGATCTATTTTTTTAAAATGATATTTTATTAAGTTTTAAGAATAACAACAAACAGAAAAAGGAAAAAACATATACAAAAAATATAAAATTATAAAATACAAAAAATACAAAAGTTTAACTTAGAAAAGAAAGGGGAAAAACAAAAAAGAAAGAAAAAAGCACATTAAAAAACCCCACAAAAATCCCTCTTTTTAATTCCTCATCTTTGATTCACTTATTTTCCTGACTTCCTCACGTCTCCCTTTTTTGTATCCCTTTTGAAAATTAGTTCAGCAAATTCATATCCAATTAATTTATCTATTATCAATCCAATCTTATTTTTTACCTTGTTGCTAGAACCCCTTCAGTTCATTTCAATGCCATTAACATTCAAAAATTTTACAATGTTTCTGTAAATAAATTTTAAATTTCCTCCAATCTTCTTCCACCAACTCTTCTCCCTGGTCTCGGATTCTGCCAGTCATTTCCGCCATTTCCATGTAGTCCATTACTTGCATCTGAATTTTACCTAATTCTATAACATTACTGCTAAAACCGCATAACTTCATTCCAGCATCCTTCTAACATTCCTTAATTTTACAATGTTTCTGTAGATAGTCTTTAAATTTCTTCCAATC